TCCACAGGGCAGAGCAGAACAGAGCTGCCCCTGTGAGTTTGCAAGACTGCCATCTTCATGACGGAGAAAGCCCCCTCTTTCTCCCGAGGAGGGACTGGTGGCCCCCAGCTGCTGGCGTGACCACTAGCAGTCGAACCACCTGACCGCTGCGCTACCAGAGCCCGGTGATGGTGATCGGAGATAGAAGAAAAAGAATGTTGTCATCAAGCAGAGCTCCTGCGGGTAGAATTTTACTTGAAAGTGTTTTCAATGCCTGTTTTTTGTTTGTTTGTTTGTTTATAATAAGGTCACCCACCAGACCTTTCTTGTGAGGTCTCAGTGAACTTGAGCTTCTAATTTTTTGGTTACCAGGCAAGCACATCAGCCATTTGTTCCACCCAGGGAACCCAATTGCTACATTGCTGGTCCCCAATAAATGTGCACTGAATAGTGAAATTCATTCAACATGAAAAATCATTTGGGCTGATTGGAAATTTCTATCTGGGAAGATAGTCTATTGTTCTATTGAACCAAGCATTAATTGTTAATTAGTGTGCTTATTAATAGTGTGCTTATAAATAATGTGCCAAGACATATTTTACCACGGATAAAGTGACAGGGAAAGGGGAGAGGAATCTTTTCATAAGAAAATTACTTCTTTAGTCCCATTTTCCACAAAAGCTCATGAAATCTGAAGAGTACGACCTAAAATTCTAAAGGAAGCCTGGCCTTTGAAAACCCACCTGAATGTTGTTCGGCCCACCAAGGACCCCATGGTTCTGATTCTTAACCCTACTGATAGGCCACTGGAGATGCCCTTGCAGAGGGGTCTCGGGGAGGAGATGAGCCAGTCAGGGTGCGATGTAACAATGATGAGAAATACAACCTTCCTCTAGTTCCTAAAGGTTTCCTCCCCGCTCCCACTACCATGACTCGAATTCGATCTTGCAAGACTGGCTAGACTGTACCAGAGGAGGTACACTGGTACAGATAGGAACTGGAAATACAGGGAATCCAGGACGGATGAGCCCTATAGGACCAGTGCTGTGAGTGGCAAAACAGGGAGGGTAAAGGGAGAATGGGTAGGAAAGAGGGAACCGATTACATGGAACTGTGTGTGACCTCCTCCCTGGGGGACAGACAACCAAAAAGTGGATGAAGGGAGACGTCGGACAGGACAAGATATGACAAAATACCCATTTATAAACTACCAAGGGCTCATGCGGGATGGGGGAGCGGGGAGGGAGGGGAAAAATGAGGACCTAATGTCGGGGGTTTAAATGGAGAGAAAATGTTTTGAGAAACGATGTACAAATGCGCTTTACACAATTGATGTGTGTATGGATTGGGATAACAGTTGTATGAGCCCCTAATAAAATGTTAAAAAAAACCAACACACACACACAAAGAAAGGTACACACATATAAGGGAGTTTGAGAGAATTATGGGAAAATCCCACTATCTTTTATTCCATTTCCCCATGAACGTTTGACACACACACACCCCGCCCCCGCCCCACTTCTTATACTTGTCTTAGTCGCCTAGTGCTGCCATGAACAGAAACATCACAAAGTGATGGCTTCAACAACTTCATTTTCTGATTGGTGGCTAGAAGCCCAAATTGAGGGGACCATCAAAAGAGAGAAAGGCTCTCTCTGTGTTAGCTCTAAGGAAAGGTTCTTGTCATTAACTTTCCTTGGATGTACTTCCCTCCCAGTTCTTTTTTTTTCTGGGTGGTGAGCCCCTGTCACTCTACTTCTTTCTACTTTTATCTCCTGTAAGATAAAAGGTGATGCAGGCCATACCCCAGGGAAACTCGCCTCACATCACATGAAAGCTGTGACCTGATCAACGATGTTACCAAGTCAAAGAAACAAACTCACTGCCATCAAATTGATGCCTACTCATAGAACTGCCCCTGTGAGTTTCCAACACTGTACTACGTACAGAGCAGAAAGCCCTTTCTTTTCCCCAGGGAGCTCCTGGTGATTTTGAACCACAGACCTTGTGCTTAGTACCCAACATGTAACCACTAGCCAACAGAACTCCTCAAGGATATTACATTCTAGCCTAATCCCCTTTAAGAGTGACTGACGGTCACCTCAGAGCTGCCTCTAATTCTGAGTCATTAACATCATGACCACAAGCAAAACTCACTGCTGTGAGGTAACGTCAACTCATAGTTACCCGGTATAGAGTGGCTGAGACTATAGATCTTTATGTAAGCAGACATCCTCATCTTTTCCCTAAAGAGCATTTGGTGGGGCTGAACTGCCAACCTTGCAGTGAGCAGCTCATCACCTATCCCAGAGCACCACTAGAGCTACTTCTACAACACAATTATATCCGATCACACAATGGAGATCACCACATAATACTGAGCAGGGGGTGGGGTGGGGTATAGGACACAATTCAGTCGGTGACAAATACTACATATTAAAACAAAGATTTGACTAACTAATATGATGTTAGCTACACATTGCATTTAGCTACTCTAATTTATATGCATATTTGACTTAAAGATAGACTTGGAAATGGAACTTATTCTTAATCTGGGGGCTGCCTATACCTGATTAATATTTTATATTATATATGTTTTATGGCTTAGAAACTTTAAGTAATGCAAGCTATCTCGACTATAAAACCTTTAATAAAAGCAAAAGTATAGGAGCGTTTCAAATCCCTAAACTCACAGAAACGTTCATTCAAAAAAAAACAAAAAAACCCTACTGAGGCTAACTTCAGCAATCTGTCTGTCCTTAGACTGCCTGGCTTGCTTCTGTTCCCGCATTTCCTTCCCACTCAACACTCTTAGTGAAATGATGTGAAAGCTCCCTAGTGTTGCTTGAAAATTATATTAGAGACTTTCTTACATAATCAGTGACCAATCGCTACCTTTCAGGTTTCAAAGTGCTTCTGATCCGTAGTTTTCTAAATGGCCATATTAGATTATAATTAGATAACATAACATTCCTCTGTTTACAGTGCACAGTTGGTAATTTGAGCAAACTGATTTGGTTGTGCAACCTTCACCACAATCCATTTGAGAATGTTGCATCACCCCAAAATCCTCTTGTGCAGTTGCTCTCCATCCCAAATCTGACCCTAGGCAACTACTCATCAGCTCTCTGTAGCTATATGAGAGCGTACCCAAAAAAAAAAAAAAAACCAAACAAACCAGAAAAAAGCCCAGGTGAGCAGAACTTTCATAGTTTGCATTTTTCCCACTAGGCCAGCATTGATCAACTTGTTCTCAGTTGGTGCACACAGTGGGCAGGTTCTCTCTGGTCTCAGTGAATATTTTCATAAAAGCAGTTTCCCTCAAACCTTGTTTATTGCATGTGGCTGTGAAATTTTGTTTCCTGCTTGGGAAAAATGCAGCAGAAACTGTTGTGATGGTGAACACAGCTTACAAGGACAGCGCTGTGGGAAAAACAAGTGTAAAGTGGTTTTCCTATTTCAAAAAAGGTGAGATGGCGATCATTCTGGATGTCCGTCAGCTTCCCGAACAGATGAAAATGTCAACAACATTCATGCCTTTGTGCTTGAAGATCAATGATGGGCCATTGAAGAGATGGGGGCGTTATCTGAACTAAATTGGAGCTTGGTTCAGTGAATTTTAACAGAAGATTTGGGAATGAGAAGGGTTGCTTCGAAATTTTTGCCTCAGCATCTGACTGACCAGGAAAAAGTGTGTCAACTGGAAACATGTCATGCTCTGAAAGAACAGCTCCGAAGTGATCCAGACATTTTCCCCAAGGTCATTACTGGTGATGAGACATGGTGACATTCTTATGACCCCAAAAGCAAACATCAGTCAAGCCAGTGGAAGATGCCATCATTGCTTCATCCCAAAAAAGTTTATCAAGTGAAGTCAAATATCAGGACGATGCTAATTTGGTTTTTTGATGTGTGGGGGCTAGTGCATTTGGAGTTCGTTCCACCAGGTCAGAATGTTAATCAAGCGTTCTATTTAGAGGTTCTGAAAAGATTTTGTAAAAGTGTGCGACAAAAAAGTCCTAATTTGTGGCAGACGGGAGACTGTTATTGCCACCATGACAATGTAACAGCTCACGTGGCCATCTCAGTGCACCAATTTTTTCCAAAAAATAGCATGCCTCGCTTGCCCCGGACACCTTACTCACCTGACCTTGCTCCATGTGACTTCCTTTTGCTTCTATGAATAAAGAGGGACATGAAAGGAAATGATTTTATGACGTAGAAGAGGTGAAGAAAAAAATGAAGGAGGCGCTGTCAGCCATGCAAACAGATGAGTTTGAAAAATGTTCTCAGAAATGAAATAGCAGATTTGACAAATGTATTAAGTATAATGGAGAGTACTTTGAAAGTGATGAGGTTGTTTTGTTAAAAAAATTAAATACATAGCTTTGAAAAAAAATTCCGATTTTTTTTGGGGGGTGGGGCGTTACCCTCCTCATAGTTTCCTATAACATTGTCTTGAAATTCCATCTGAATGGAATCAGAATAGCTGTATTTGTAATTTAGATACATATTTGTAACTTAGAAATTAAAGTTTCCCTATTAAAATAGCTAAAGGTCTGTTGAATTAGGTGGATCTTATCTCTAATGGCAAATAGCCACAGATTAAATTAAGTGAGAGATTTTTAAAATCAGGTGCTAAGTCCTTATCCTATGTCTCAGTTGTATTGTTAAATTGCAACTTATTATATTCCTTGAGCTATACATTACATGTTATCTCTTCTAAAATTGTGAATTAATGCTTGTCCCAACTCCGGGTTTTATTTGAAAGTCTATATTGTGATGACTTCTATTTTGTTTCAGAATTAAAATGATTTGTGCATGTGCAAAGGGACAATGAATATAAGCTTTTAAATTTTGTGGCTAGATTGACAGATGGATGGAGGATGCAAAGATAACTTCCCTATATTTAGGTATAAGGGAGGCTGTTTTATCACCAGTTCTCAGGGTGTTGAGAATTTATAAGTTGGATGTATTAGAATAAAACCTCCCTCTTTGATTTTGTGTTCTTGACTGAGCAGGAGGAATGTGAAGCATGTTCTAGCAAGGAATAAAGCATTACAGTGGACTCAATCCTACGTGCTACCAGAGTTTCCCTACGACGTCAAATGCATGCTAGCCGAGCAGAAGTGTCCTGATCACAGCATGAGGATCAGGATGATTGAGTTTCTCCAGGCGGACATGACTAAGTATCTGGAGGGCTCCCTGTGAGTAGCCCTGGGTGGATTTGGTGTTTCGGGAAAGGGTCTGTTTTCAAAGTAGAGTTGGAATCATTTGTTATCAACTCTCTGACCAGTTATAATATTTTGCTAATAATTTCAACACTGCCCAATACTTGAATGTAGCTTAGAAAGATATATTTCTAATTACATGAAAATGTTTTTTAAAAAGGCGATTTACCTGAAAGGAAGCAATGTGACTTATCTGAAGTGAAATAAACATGTTCTCCTTGTGGTGAACAGGTATCCCAGCACCCAGCAGTACAATGATGTGGTCAACACCCTACTTCAGGCTCACCCTTTCCTGGACGAGGATGGCTGTGGCTTTGTAAGTGACCGTGTGGCCCTATCCTATTAATCCCATCATCAAATGATACTCATATCATTGGGTGACATTGTGTCACCCCCGTCTCCTCAACCTCTTAGTGTCTCTCTCTCCCTTTGTCTATGCAGGGCTATCTGCATGGTTGTCTCTGACTCTTTGTCTCTGTTTGGTCTCTGATTCTCTGTCCACAGAGCTCTGTGTCTCACGAGCTCTCTCTGTGTCAGTCTAGTTTTCTTTGCTTGGGTGTCTATATTCATTTTTGGCTCTGTCCTTTTTGACTCAGACTTCTCTGCCAGTATTTCTTTGTCTACTTGTCGCTCCTTGCCATCTTTCTGTCTGTCTCGCCTTTTGGAGCTATGGAAGCTCATGTTTTGATAGAGGGCCTATGAGAAAAGTCTATGGGAGATGGATACATGGAAAGAGAGAGCTGACACTGTAGCCAATCAATGCGGTCTTCCAGAGAGTGTTTCTTATCTTCTGATTAGACCTAGTGGAGAAGTTGTCTGGTTTTGAGATCTTGACCCCCAGCCTCCTTCTGCCTTTTAACCAACATTCTCAGCTGTCCTGACTTAAAAATAAATAAATAAAAAGGACCTTGAGGCTCTTTGGGACAACATTTTTTTTTTGATGGAATCTTTTTATTATTATTATTAAATACTTTTATTGGGGGATCTTACATCTCTTTTTTTTTAACATTTTATTAGGGGCTCATACAATTGTTATCCCAATCCATACACACATCAATTGTGTAAAGCACATTTGTACATCGTTT